AAATCTGTATTTTTGTCTCTTTTTACAGATTACTACTTCACCTGGCAGCTTTCAATCCAAACTTTTTTATGATTAACCTATTCTATTGCACAAGTGCCCTTAACTTTTGGTTTATTCTTGGCCAACTCATTGGTTCCCCCTCTAAGTGAGCCAGGATTGTTTGCCATAATTCAAATTTGATTTCGGATTTTACAGGCTGTTTAAATGCAGGCGCAGGCTTTATAGTCTAGAACGGCTAAGCACAGAGCTTACAAAAAGAAATAAATCATGCAAAGGCCTCTGCCTTATCTTTCCTTTCTATAACAAACATCCCTCAAGCTGCTGCTCTTCGGCTCGCTCTGATTTTCATCTTGCATTTGCTGTTGAGTTGAAGGGAAGTTGGTGAAGTAAAATGGCAAGAAAAAGGAGGAAGACATAGGTGCAAATGTTTGCCTGGCCATGAAACTCGTGTGCCCGGAACAATGGAAAGGTTCAAGTCTTCACACTAAGCCATCATTGGTTTGGCTTTAGATCAGCCTGTTAACTATTCTCAGTGCCAAATAGCAATAGCACTTAGACTTATATTCTGCTTCACAGTGCTTTATAGACCTCTCTAAGCGTTTTACAGAGTCAGCATATTGCTCCCCAACTATCTGAGTCTCATACATAAAGCATTTTACCAGGGGTTAAATCCAATTTTTTTTCCCTACCAGTTCTGTGGGTGTGGCTTGGTGGGCATGGCAGGAGAAGGATATTGCAAAATCTCCATTCCCACCCCACTCCAGGGGATGCAAAATCTCCATTCCCACCCCACTCTGGGGCCAGCCAGAGGTGGTATTTGCCAGTTCTCCAAACTACTTAAAATTTCCGCTACCGGTTCTCCAGAACTGCATTTTACTAACCTCAGGAGGGTGGAAGGCTGAGTCAACCTTGAGCCGGTCAGGATCAAGGGAATTGAACTCTTGGCAATGTGAGCAATTAGCCTGCAATACTGCATTCTAACCACTGTGCCACCACGGCTCTTGGTTAACCATGGTTTATAAGTAAATCACAGCCTTCTTTATACCAAAATTAAAACAATTATAGCTAAGGGGTGAATCAAGGGTATCTTTCAGCCTCTCTTACCTAATTTAGAGAAAAGGGGTGGGGGGAGGAAGTGTGTATTAAGAGGAAAACTAAAGAAAAGGGGGAAATGAATTGGGTATGATGACCTGCTATTGACAATATGAATAAATATAAATCCTATATAGCATATATTCAGTGATTAGATGCTGGCTTTGTCAGCTGGAAACCCAGCAGCCCAGGTTTGAGACCCGAGCGTCGCATGATGGGGTGAGTTCCAGTCCTCGTTCCAGCTCCTACCAACCTAGCAGTTTGAAAGCATGCAAATGTGAGTAGATAAATAGGTACCACTTTGGTGGGGAGGTAACCAAAGTGGGGAGTGTTCCGTGATGTCATGCTGGCCACATGATCATGAAAATGTCATCGGTCATCACTCCATGGCCTCGAATCAGAGATGAGCACCATCCCCTATAGTTGGCAATGACTAGCAGAATAAAATCTGCAGGGACTCCTTTTTATATAGCATATGATATAAATTATATTAAAAGTCTAATAAAAATCACTTGGGCAAAACCTGCAGATACAAGGATTTGCTCTTTAGCTACTCCACACACCGTGTTTAAGTGGTGCTTCCTCAAATTAGCCCCAGCCAACGGATTCAGTTTATGGAATCTGCTGTTAATTCAATTTCCTCTAATACTCCAGCAACTGTAGCAAAGTTACCAATCGAACATAACGAGACTCATTGTCTCTCTAGCATTTAGCATTGCAATCACATCCTTTTGCTAATTAGCTGGCCTTTTTAAGTACCCGTTTCCCAAAAAAACCCCCCCAAAAACCAAAACCAATCCATAATGCACTGGCTCGTTTTAGCAAACCCCATTTAAATTGTGAAGACCTTTGCAATAGTTTATTTGCTTAAGATAATGGTGTTTACCACCAAGCAGCACAGGTATTAATTGCCACGGCTAGGTGCGAAGTGGGTCTCAAATAAAGAAACTCACTGTCACCTCCAGAACAAAGCCATCCTTGCAGTTTTCCTGGCAAGACCATAAATTGGACTTCAAATGTTGGATATTTTTTCTTCTTCTTTTGCTGAGTGTCATGTTCTTTACAACTGGACATTACAGGCCTGTCTTCGTGCCTGGCTCGTAAGTTCTTTTAAGAGAAATTAATCACCCTTTTTACACTGCTATATTATCCATCATTATTCAATTCCGACAGTACAGAGAACATTACATTTTGAGGATGATGAATTGGGGATATTACATATTTTATGACTCCATCTCTTTGCGCTTTGTTGTTTCCCTTTGAATGGGAATGCTTAACGGGCTGCATGTTAATCCTCTATTATTAAATTTGTCATCAAAGTGAAAGTGGTCTCACATCACCAGTGAGCCCATCCAATCCCTGGGTTTGCGTTTTCTGATGTTTGCAGAGGGGCCATCGAGAGAGTAAATCATATGAATTATCATTTTTAACAGAATAATAACCCATTACAGGCTTACGACACAGGTTCTGCTTGTGCCCTGTTCCTCTTTTATATTTCATCCCCCGTAACCATATACCTGGCATGTAAGAAGAAGGAGAATGTCTCAGGTGGGACATCCTGGCTAAAATATGTCCTATTTTTAGAGATGATGTTTAAATAGGAGCCTTGGTAGTACAGTGGTTTAATGCACCCTGTTATTAACACAGCTGCCTGCAATTTCTGCAGGTTCGAATCTTACCAGGCTCAAGGTTGACTCAGCCTTCCATCCTTTCTAAGGTAGGTGAAATGAGGACCCAGTTTGTGGGGGCAATAAGCTGACTTTGTATAAATATACAAAAGTATGAAGGCTATTGCTGAATGCACTGTAAGCCGCCCTGAGTCTCCGGAGAAGGGCGGCATATAAATCAAATTTAAAAAAAAAAAATTCTCCTCTTCAATTGGCAGAAATGGCCACGCAAGATAAGGAATTTGGGGAGTCAGTCCACATTTTTGAAAGTTATCCAGGGTGGGTAACATGATAGCAGTGTTCCAATATCTCAGGGGCTGCCACAAAAAAGAGGGAGTGAAGCTATTCTCCAAAGCACCTGAGGACAGGACAAGAAGCAATGGATGGAAACTCATCAAGGAGAGAAGCAACTTAGAACTAAGACGGAATTTCCTTACAGTTAAAACAATTAATCAACTTGCCTCCAGAAGTTGTGAATGCTCCAACACTAGAAGTTTTTAAGAAGTCATTTGTCTAAAATGTTATAGGGTTTCCTGCCTGAGCAGGGGGTTGGACTAGAAGACCTCCAGGGTCCCTTCCAACTCAGTTATTCTATTTTATTTTAACAAATGAGAGGGGTCCTTACATGGGCCAGAAGGGGCCATGGCCTCAAAAATAGGAAGCGAGAAGACAAAAGCTAAATTTGATTCAAATTGGAATGGGATTATCATTAAATTAAATGGTGCTTTAGTACAATTATTCTTGCCTTTTATAATTAATAGTTTCCATCTCCTGTCTTATTAAAAGACAGATCCTTCATGCAATCTTTTCAAGAGGTTTTGGGTCCATATTGGTGTCTTCTCAGAGGAAAAAAAAAACCCACAGAAATTCAGGGAGTGATTCATCCCTCTGGTTGCCTTAGAATCACTTTCTCCAACTTGGTGCTCTCTATTGTATAGATGCTGGAAGAACAATTCCTGCAATTTCCAAAGAATTTGGGGCTTGATTAATTAAACAAATTAACACATAAGATTGAAAGGCTTCTTGGAGTTTGGGTGCTAATCTAAAGGAATTTTAAGCCAGCTGAATCAGAACTTGTCTTCATATTCTTAAAATATTTCTTCACTCACATACAACTGAGTGACTTTATTACATGTTTAGAGACCATCAAGGCACCTATTTCATATTTCATCCCACTCTTGATTTCAGAGTCAGATCCTGTGAATTTGAACTATTGAGTATCTTCAAATTCAACATGTGGCCAATGAGCAGGACATGTTTATGTCATGTCATGACATGTTTATGTCATGTCATGACATGTTTATGAGTATAGCATAGTGGTTTATTGACCACTAGAACTCACTGTCACCCAGGCAGCTTTCATGGTTAAAGTGGGACTAGAATTCACCATCTCCTGGTGATTGGCCCACAGTTCTCCACCTAGCTTTCATGCCTAAGGCAAGTACTAGAACTCACCATCTCCTAGTGATTGGCCCACAATTCCCCACCTGGCTTTCATGCCTAAGGCAGGTACTAGAACTCACCGTCTCCTAGTGATTGGCCCACAGTTCCCCACCTGGCTTTCATGCCTAAGGCGGTACTAGAACTCACTGTCTCCTGGTTTCTAGTTTGGTCTTTCACCATTAGACCAAACTGGCTCTTTTCCTGTTATTTTCAATTTATTTCTTATTTCTACAGTACCAACTTATCATGGGTTCTATATATTGAAGAATCCATTTATTACAGTTGCTAAATTGCTGGACTAGAGGGAGGGAGATCCAGCTTCTGGAACACAGCTGGGTGACCTTGGACCTCCTCCTCAGTGCAAATCAGTGCCAGCCTGAAAAAAAAAATCTGGCTGAGAAACAAACCCCTTTGTCACATCATGTATTCATAGCTTTGCTACATGAACTGAAACAAGCAAAGTGCGAGAAATAATCCCGCAACTAAGCAGGACAAATGCTAGGAATGACAACAGCAGTCCATTATACATGTGATTAACTGCCATTTTTCTCCTCTTTCTGCTCTCGTGAATGAGGCGATTTAAGCAAGGCATGCCAAGAGCGGAGAGATCTTTTCCCAGGCTCTCTCCCTGCCATTTCAATGGGCCATGCAAATATCTGGAGAAGCCATTAATGATGGTAATGTTTTAATCAATAAAGGCCTCTTAAATGGAAGGCAAACATAGGAAGGATTCGGCATATTCCTCCTTTATTATTACAGTCAAGCTGTAATTAATCTTCTCCCAGAAATATTTGCAGACAAAGAAAAAACAAAATATATTTATTTTTAGGAAAACTGAAATGTTTCCATGACTCCTATTTTCTTTGTGTTTCCAGTTTTAAGAGCTTAGTTAGTGGTTGCTGTGCCAACATGTATCTTTTTCCCCCTCTCTTTAAGCCAAGCAAGGATTATATTGTAAGGATGGTGATCTTGCGTAGCTACATATCAAGTGAGATTCCACTTTTCCGATGCCTTAGATCCTCAGAGCGAGAAGGAACTTCTAAAAATGCGAAGGCAAAAATGAAATAAAGGCAAAGTTTGAGATCACACAGCTCAGCTTTCTGACATGCGGTTATCTAAGATTGTGGCTGGATTTGTAGACTGAGAATCACAGATTTGGAAAGGCTAGAGGGTTAGTCCAACCCTCTAGCCATCATAGCACGTGTGTTTATTGCCAACTTCTGGGGTTTTCTGTTACTGCTGTTGCTTTCCCTGGCAGTTGCTGCCTGAATTAATTTGCCTTTTGAGGAAGTTAGAGAAGGACAGAGGACAAAACAGGGTTTGTAGGGGTGGTGGGTTGCCTGGTTCTATAGAACCGGTAGTAAAACCGGCAGGAGGCTCCGCCCACTGACCTGGACGTCATCATTAGTGATCTGCACATGCGCAGAAGAGCGCACACTCGCGCACACGATGCGAACCGGTAGTAAAGGTAAGTAGAACCCACCTTCTCTATTGTCTCTTTAGGTTCTAGATTCTGGATGGAAATGTTTAGATCAGTGTTTCACAACCTTGGTAGCTTGAAGATGGGTGGACTTCAACTCCCACAATTCTGGGAGTTGAAGTCCACCCATCTTCAAGCTTCCAAGGTTGAGAAACACTGGTTTAGATAGTCCAAAGGAAAAGGGAAGGAAAGATGGAAGAAAGAGTAATGTTGTTGAGTGAGAAACTTCCACTGAATCACCCAGTACGCTTGTAGCAAAATCAGAATTTCTCTAATGCTTTAAACAAACTTCTCCCAAGCTTTGGATACGTTGAACTACAACCCAAAGGTCAGCGGTGAAATCCAGCAGGTTCTGGAGAACCAGTAGCGGAAATTTTGAGTAGTTCAGAAAACTGGCTGGCCACAGGAGTGGGGAGGGAATGGGGATTTTGCCGTATCCTTCCCCTGCCACGCCCACCAAGCCACAGCACGCCCACCAAGCCACGCCCACAGAACCAGTAGTAAAAAAATTTGGATTTCACCACTCAGTATCAGTATGGCTCAGTATCATAATCACAGGTTCTTCGCAGAACAAGAACTTTGGTGTGGTAAGAAGAGAAGAAAAAGAAGAAGAGAAGAAGGGAAGGAGGGCGAGAGGGAGAGAGGGAGAGATTCCTTGCTTAGAGCATTATTTGTATTTATTTATTACTTTTCTTCTCCGCCAGCTCATTTCAAATTGTATTGTCTGAGAATCTGATCTGTGAGGCTCCAGATTAGTCCTCTCAGCAAAGTCACTGCATCAAATTCCTTTCGAGACAATTGTTCAAAACACAGAAGGTTGCACAGATAATTATTTTGCCTTATGGATCCTCTGTCTCATAAGGAGACCAATAATTTATTTGCCTTCCAAAGTCTTCTTTATCCCGATTTCATTTTATTTTGGAAAGGGGAGGCAAGCATACCATAAGTCACTTACGGACTTTGATAGACTTTTAAACGTTATTATTTTATCTCTGCTTACCTGCAAAAAAAAAAAAAAAAGCCAATGGCAGTTCAGGATCTAATATTATGCCCTGTGATTTATAGGTATGGATTATATGTCAGATTTGAAAAATAATGGTTAAAATTTCTGGACCCTTGGAAAAACCAACTCGAGTATATTCTAGCTCTATGAATCAAAGTCAAATGAAGTTATTCTTACATTTTAAAAACAAACAAACCTGATTCTAAAATGTGGTTTTCCAGAGTTCTACCATAATTCTGAATTTCAAAAGGACCTGCTGATATCACTGGGGCGAGCTTTATCTTAGGAATGTTATCCTGTGCTTTTTTTTTTTCATTTATTTTGCAATTTGAAGAAAATTAGGAATTTCTGTCTGCTTCCATCCCTGACATTAATGTATTGTACAGTGAATGTTCATGGTTTGTAATACATTTATCCACCCAGAGTCACTGCATGAGTAAGATGGGCAGCATAGAAATTCAATCCATCCATCCATCCATCCATCCATCCATCCATCCATCCATCCATCCATTTAACTCAACTAATAGGATTCTTTCTGGCAGCATCTACTGGATGCTGTCAGGTTTAAATGCTTCTTAGTCCTAGACAGTGCTTGATGATTTTAACTACTCAGTTATATAGGATTGGTGTACAAAGTCATGGAAGTGTAACGACCTTGGTGAGGACAGATGTTTTACTTCCTTAAAATCTCTAAACCAGGGTTTCTCACCTTTAAGATGGGTAGACCCAGAATGCTGGTTAAGGAATTCTGGGAACTTAACTCCACACTTCTCAAAGATTCTGAGGTGTCATCAGCTTTGCATTGTTGCATTCCTACAAGTGGTCCAAACCCATCCTCTCCTGAATTCCGTTGACTCTTATCTGCTGTCAACTTAACATTGAACTTTAGTTGACTAGATTCTTGAGTGGTGCAGTGGCCTAGAGGTGGAACTCTCGCCTCACAATCAGGAGGCTGTGAGTTCGATCCTAGGTAGAGGCAGATATTTCTCTTTCTGGGCACACTGAGAATATATCTGCTGAACAAAACTCCACATTGGTGACAGGAAGGGCATCTGGCCATTAAAACATTCTGCTAGCTCCATTCAGTTGCTCAGACTCCACCCTGCAGGGGATTATGGGATCATTAAATGAAGATGATATGTGCATGCTAACCATATTTGCAGCAGCCAGAATAAAGGCTGAGACGTTGGATGCCCCCTCCTCCTGCTAGCATGATTCAAAAACATTGGGGATTTAACAATTGCCTTCCTATGGAATTACAGTTCCAGAAAGCAAGGCTAGAATTCACAGCTGTTTACAGTTTAGGCAGTTGGGTTTCATGTTAATTCATGCGTAGCGACAAAACACTGCTTCCGTCCCATCTCCCTGTGGAAAACGCAGTTAATAATACAGTTTGCATAATCTCTAAGAGCTGCCTTAATTTTGCTGCGGATGATAAAGTGATAGGTTCAGAGGGGACAGAAAAGTGAGTCTCGCTGCTGCAAAGCTACAACGCCTTGGAGACCTAGGATTCTCATTGTCCCTTACTAGTAGAATAGAATAGAATAACAGAGTTGGAAGGGACCTTGGAAGTCTTCTAGTCCAACCCCCTGCTTAGGCAGGAAATCCTACACCACTTCAGACAAATGGTTATCCAACGTCTTCTTAAAAACGTCCAGCGTTGGAGCATTCACAACTTCTGGAGGCAAAGCGTTCCATTGATTATTTGTTCTAACTGTCAGGAAATTTCTCCTTAGTTCTAGGTTGCTTTTCTCCTTGATTAGTTTCCACCCATTGCTTTTTAATCCTGCCTTCTGGTGCTTTGGAGAATAGCTTGACTCCCTCTTCTTTGGGGCAGCCCCTGAGATATTGGAAGACTGCTATCATGTCTCCCTTGGTCCTTCTTTTCATCAGACTAGACATACCCAATTCCAGCAACCAGCATCCAGCTTCATATGTTTTAGCCTCCAGTCCCCTAATCATCTTTGTTGCTAGTCAGTTAAACTGGCTTCCACTCATTCCAGATTAATAACACAACTTGGCATGCATCCTTCTTCTGCAAGGAACAAAAACACAGTGGTCTGTTGGCCAACCACTTGCTCTATTTTCCCCATGTCTATATGCTGGTGTGAGAGACTCTTCCGCTGCTTTTTCTCAGTATTTAATAACAGCTACTTTCAAATTTAGTAACTTTAAGACAGGTGGACTCCAACTCCCAGAATTCTGGGAGTTGGAGTCCACTTATCTTAAAGTCACCACATGCATTTAAGTGGGAAATACCCCTAGTGTTCTTATAACCACTTTCTTCCAGGGGTGAAAGCCTACCGGTTCGGGCGAACTGCTAGGGATTATTGGCATAAATTTGCCGAACCGGTAGTGATCACCTCTCGTTGGCCCCACCCACACCCGGCCGGTCACCGCTCACCTCTTCCAGCCACTCGATATTCCACAGAATTCAATGTTAAATGCAGCAGAGATAATGCTAACTTTTCTCCCTCCATTCAGAACGCCGAAATTGCCTCCAGAAATGCTCCATCATTGGAGGCTTTTAAGAAGAGACTGGAGAGCCTTTTGTCTGGGATGATATAGGATCTCCTGCTTAAGCAGGGGTTGGACTAGAAGACCTCCAAGGTCCCTTCCAACTCGGTTATTCTGCTTTCCTTCCTTCCTTCCTTCCTTCCTTCCTTCCTTCCTTCCTTCCTTCCTTCCTTCCTTCCTTCCTTCCTTCCTTCCTACTGGAGGTTTTTAAGAAGAGACTGGACAGCCATTTGTCTGGGATGATATAGGGTCTCCTGCTTAAGCAGGGGTTGGACTAGAAGACCTCCAAGGTCCCTTCCAACTCGGTTATTCTGCTTTCCTTCCTTCCTTCCTTCCTTCCTTCCTTCCTTCCTTCCTTCCTTCCTTCCTTCCTTCCTTCCTTCCTTCCTTCCTCCATCACTGGAGGTTTTTAAGAAGAGACTGGACAGCCATTTGTCTGGATGATATAGGATCTCCTGCTTAAGCAGGGTTGGACTAGAAGACCTCCAAGGTCCCTTCCAACTCGGTTATTCTGCTTTCCTTCCTTCCTTCCTTCTTCCTTCCTTCCTTCCTTCCTTCCTTCCTTCCTTCCTTCCTTCCTTCCTTCTTCCTCCATCACTGGAGGTTTTTAAGAAGAGACTGGACAGCCATTTGTCTGGGATGATATAGGATCTCCTGCTTAAGCAGGGGTTGGACTAGAAGACCTCCAAGGTCCCTTCCAACTCGGTTATTCTGCTTTCCTTCCTTCCTTCCTTCCTTCCTTCTTCCTTCCCTTCCTTCCTTCCTTCCTTCCTTCCTTCCTTCCTTCCTTCCTTCCTCCATCACTGGAGGTTTTTAAGAAGAGACTGGACAGCCATTTGTTTGGGATGATATAGGATCTCCTGCTTTAGCAGGAGGTTGGACTAGAAGACCTCCAAGATCCTTTCCAACTCTGTTATTCTATTATTCTGTCTCCCCTTGATTTCACGTTGATCTTAGAAATTCTTAAGGTGACTACAAGAGCTGGTAAGTGTCCCTGGAACATGTTTTTTCCAATCCTGCAATTACCCCCCATTCCTCTTTTCCTATATTTGTGTGCCTGATGCGGAAAACAACTTCAGACTCTGGAAAGAGTCTGGTGGCTTGTGCCGAATAATAGCATCTAGTGACTGTCACCTTTAGAAAATATCTCACTTCTCTGTCTTCAGTACTTCATCCAGATAAATTAAAGAGAGAAGTGTTTATCGGTCCTTATGTTCATGCTTGGGAGAGAGAAAGAGAAAAAAAATCACCTGCTACATTTTGATATGTGAAACTGCTATTCAAGGTAACACTTGTCTCTCCTTGTTTTTGTAATATTTTCCCCCCTTTTAAAGAGATTTTGTCTCTTGTCTCGCTCTCTAGATATTTTTGCAATTTCGGCATTGCGATGATTACTTTTAATATTACAGAACAAAGAATTGGAGCTGCCTCTTTCATTCTCCTTCTTTGTGATTTGAAAAAGGCAGATGGGAAGAGCAGCCTCTGGAATTTTGGCTGGAGATGCAACTCACGGTATGAGGAGCCAAGGGGGCTGCAGAAACAAGGGTGCAATGGAAGGTAGACTAGTTTCACACAACCCTTGTGCTTGAGTAAGTGCAATTTCCCCATATTCTGCCACTGAGAAGGTCTATTAAATGTTATGTTACAGGAGGAGGAGGAGGAAGAGGAAAGGAGGAGGAGGAGGAGGAGGTGGAGGAGGAGGAGGAGGAGGAGGAGGAGGAGGAGGAGGAGGAGGAGGAGGAGGAGGAGGAGGAGGACAACTGTGGAGTCCTTGGTACTCTCTGAGCTTGGTTCTTACAGATGTTTCATTACCCAAGTAGGTAACATCATCAGTGTTAGAAGAGAGTGAATAGCAAAAATTTATTTATTTTATTAAATTTATTGGCCGCCCATCATACCACAGGGTAACTCTGGGCGGCTTAATTCTAATTTCCAGACAGTTCGAGGTGAATAAATAGACTGGCAATCAGAAACAGATCTTTTAAACATGTGTTTGTTAAAAGTCCTACAACTGCATCAGAACATCTGCCATTAAGAGCCGCGGTGGCACAGTGATTAGAGTGCAGTACTGCAGGCTACTTCTGCTGCCTGCCGGCTGCCTGAAATTTGGCAGTTCGATCCTGACCAGCTCAAGGTTGACTCAGCCTTCCATCCTTCTGAGGTCAGTAAAATGAGGACCCAGATTGTTGGGGGCAATAGGCTGACTCTGTAAACCGCTTAGAGAGGGCTGTAAAAGCACTGTAAAGTGGTATATAAGTGCTATTGCTATTATGGGCTTCAGATTTCAATTGCTCAGCTCCTATCCAGCACCTTACAAATGGTCAATTCTCCTATTCCTACACTGTCCAGACTATGGGACTCCCTCACCTCTCTTTATTTCTGCATTCTTCTCTTCAGATGCTTTCTATCCTGTTAACAAAACCTTTTGTCTTTTGCTCTCCCCGTTCTGCCACGAAGGAGGACTCATTAGGCCTGCTAACTGCATTCACACAGCACATGGCAACTTGCTAGAACTAGAGGATCCATTCATCCATTAGGGTGTGCTAAGCATGGTTAGAGTTAGCCTTCGAACAAGTGTGTGTGTGTGTGTGTGTGCGCGCGTGTATGAGAGAGAGAGAGACAGAGAGACAGAGAGGGAGGGAGAGAGGGAGGGAGTCACAACAAGTTAGCAGAGTCGCTTGACTTGAGGTATTATACGGAGCAGAGGAAACAGGATGATTTAGTAACTAGGCAAAAAGTGTTGTGTGAACCCAACTGTAGGGTATCCCAAGGGCAGTAGTGGTGATGCCTTCCAAATTGCAGTAGAATTCTCCAAAGCCCCAGCTCGTCATTTCTTCCCAATGTGTTTTAAATGGAGCATGTCCAGAGATATTCCTTCAGCTGCTCTGCGCAAGCCAGGAGCTTCACAGCCAGTGAGCTTCTCAATTGAGCATCAGAGAATTCGCTTCACGATTCCATTTGATTTGGAAGCCGAATGGTTTCTGGCAACACTCCGCCTTGAGAGATGGGGTGGGAAGCTGCTAAAAATTGTGTGTGGGGTGCATCCGGGATCGCAAGACCCTCGTCTCCCCCCCATCAAAAAAACAACAACAACTACTACAGATGAGTTAAAGAGGCCTTGGAGGTCAAGTCCAACAGCCATCCTCCTCCTGCATTCCTTTCTGTCCCTTATTTTTCAGAGGTTGTTTTTAGTCTCGCTAGACTCATGGAATGAATGAAGCATTGTTTATGTGGTCAATCCATAAGGTTAATCTCAGATGGACTCTCCAAATGATTATTGGCCTCTTTAATTTAAAACTCTCCAACTGTACGATAGCAAAAGGTTATCAAAGACA